TTTAACTTGATAGGGAGAGTTTAAATAGGAAGATTATCTATGCTCATCTTAGTAGTGATTTATTGGAGGGTCATAGTTAATGCCAATGCACTCTCTGATGTGAGGATCTGGGTCATGACTTCTGACATGGATTCATATTACGTTTGACATAAAAGTTCTGTCTGTTCTTCACACAATTAACCTGCAGGTGACCTAAGACTAAACATTTCTAGCTTATCTAGCTAAAAGATTTACAGGATCATAGAACTTAAAAGAGTTTAGGGTGCTATTACCTTGTAGAATGAACATTTGCTTTAAGCTGAGAATACCATTTGAGAAAGAATGAGTGCACTTTTGCCTTTTGCCTCAAGGAAAATGTTTTATCGATCTCAGGTCATAAAAATACTATTTGAGATTTGAGGAGGAGGGAGTATTTTTGAATTTCGAGAGCTGAAAATCATCCTAAATTTGATTCTGATAAGAGCAATCAAGGTTATTGAGAAAATTCCTTTTGACATTTTGAATCAACCTTTATTTTAAGGTACTAAAACAGGAATTATGTAATTGATTGTTTTGATGGTTCCAGAAGGAATGGGCATTCTCATACATGTATGAGAACTATGTCAAATTATGAAGCTTTTTGAAAGTGATGGTGTTGTTGTTCTATACCTTGAAGTCATTTTAGACTTGTTCAGTGTCACCCAGTGGGTTCCCATGGTTGAGTACAAATTCAAAACCTAGTCTCTTAAGTCATGATCCAATGTTGAAACTGCTACAGCACGCTGGCTCTTTTTTGACACTATGAGTGATCATTTGAGTTGATCCTCAGTGCATTCAGTAACCTCTTTGAAGGTGATGATTTGTTAGGGGAAAAGATGTCCTGGTAAATAAATGATGTGTTAGAAGGCACGATCATCAAGTTTGCAGATGACACCAAATTGGGAGGGATAGCCAAATTCCCAGAAGACAGGAGCAGAATTTGAAACAACTGAACAAATGAGAGAGATGAGCCAAAACTAACAAAATGAAGTTCAACAGTGACAAAGGCAAGATACTACGCTTAAGCAGAAAACAATGAAATGCAAAGATACAGAATGGGGGACGCCTGGCTCGAGAACAGTATGTGTGAAAAAGATACGTCTCCCTGAGTCACCTTTGGGCTGATATGGGTGGGATAAAAATGATGTAAATAAATAAATAAATAAATATTGGAATCCTTGTGAACAACAAGTTAAACATGAGGCAACAATGTCATGCTGTGGTAAAAAAAAGCTAATGAGATTTTGGCCTACATACATATGAGTACAGTGTCTGGATCCAGGGAATTCATGCTACCCCTCTATTCTGCCTTGGTCAGACCACATCTGGAATACTGTGTCCAGTTCTGGGCATCGCAGTTGAAGGGAGATGTTGACAAGCTGAAATGTGTCCAGAGGAGGGTGACCAAAATGATTAAGGGTCCGGAGAACAAGCCCTATGAGGAGCAGCTTAAAGAGCTGGACATGTTTAGCCTTCAGAAGAGAAAGCTGAGAGGAGACATGATGACCATGTATAAATATGTGAGGGGAAGTCATAGGGAGGAGGAAGCAAGTTTGTTTTCTGCTGCCCTGGAGACTAGGGTGCAGAACAATGGTTTCAAACTACAGGAAAGGAGATTCCACCTGAACATTAGGAAGAACTTTCTAACTGTGAGAGCTGTTCAGCAGTGGAACTCTCTGCCCTGGAATGTGGTGGAGGCTCCTTCTTTGGAGGATTTTAAGCAGTCTGGATGGCCATCTATCAGGGGTACATTGAATGTGATTTTCCTGCTTCTTGGCAGAATGGGGTTGGACTAGATGGCTCACCAGGACTCTTCCAACTCTAAAATTCTATTATTCTAATTTGAGATTATGAATGTCAAATTAAATGAGTCGAAAAGTAATGAAAATACAATGCAAGAAACTGAAGAAAGATGGAACCGGGTCCACAAGGTCTCTTCCAACTCTGATTCTATGATTCTATGTTTGATATGATTCAGATTGTTTTGAGGATATGGTGGGACTTAAGGGATTTTTACATTGCTGGTGAAATCATCCCACCAAACCAATACATAAACACATATTCCCATTTTCGCTTTAGATAACCTGACCCTTGCAGTAGTCATGGTTGAAATAGAGCTCCACATGCCTTTGCCTCCTGCCCCAACATTGGATTCTGAAAGTATACTATCCACAATAATTACATTTACATAGAAAAGAAAAAGATTTTTTTAAAAACAAGTTGCTATCAGAGCCACGGTAAATACCCTGAAGTAACCTCACTCTGATATTGTTATAGATTATTTCCTTAGAATGGCTCCCCCTTTTAAGGAGGCCTCAAATCTCTCCCTAATTCAGATAACACAATGTTTCAAGGTGGGGTTATCCATCACCACCACTGCAGCACTTCTAAATCTTATGGTCCGGATTTGGATTGCTTATCCACAGAAACTATTTTCTATGGCATTGTACCCATAATGTAGGGCATAGAAAAGAACCTAATGTGTTCTAGTAGTGTGAGTTGTTATTTGACCATCTCTGCTTGAGATGTGTTGTTGTGTTCTTCATTGTAAGTTCTCAAACTAAGCATAATTTATTTGGCTAGTGTGCATGATGAGAACAAAATTAAAAATAACATTGTGCCTACATGTGCCTGATTACTCTGAGAACAAAGGTGGGAAGTAATCATGGGAAGTTACTTAGCAGACAGATGTCATCTGAATCACATTTCAGTTGACTTTGGCCAACAGGACAATGATTCATAGCATGGTTGCCTTTTAAGAACAATAAGACCAAGGATTCCATGACACCATGAAGGTTTTAGAAAAAATGCTGGAGACAATGCTGAAATCAGGGATAGGCTGATTGTATCTTGTTCCAAAGGAATCTGTTTGGTGGTTGCTGAAGAAAACAGTGCTTCATTATTTAAAGAGCTGTACCTTGTGTACCTAATATTTTTTGTATGTCACAAATAAGAAGATCAGCCTAGAAGGTGGAAACCTAGGGAAGTAGCCAATGGTGTCCGTGTATCAGGGATGTAGCTCTATACTTTAAAGGAGCTGTACTACATGTTGTACCCTGTCATTAAACAGGCCTTACTCCATTTGGCAACTCTTCTAAAGTCTGAATTAAGAGCTAGTATGGCTTGACAGTATTTCTGATGTGGAAGTCACCAGTCACCCCTACATGCCTGGCAGTGTCCGGGATCTCCCCAAGAACATGAGATATTCATTAAGTAGAGTTTGTCATTTCATAATATAATGGAGTATATATGGCGAGGAACAATAGATGAAAGGTAGATCCCATGATTGGCAAAAAAATTTATAACTGACTGGCTTTGAAGAAATAGCTGTGATAGTTGCATATTTATTTAATTTATTTAGTTTCAACATTTGTCCTTCTCAACCCCCAAAGGGAGACTCAGGGCGGCTTATAACAGCAACAATTCAATGCCAACACATACACAATACATAACGCAATATATCACAACATTACACATTAAATAAAACCATTAAGTTAAAATCTATTTAAAAACATTATTAACAACCATGTAGCCAAATCCAATCCAATTCAGCATCCAAATACTTTGTACATTGTCAGTTCATGTAAACATTGCAATTGCTATCAAGCCTGCTCCCCAAATGCCTGGCCCTGGAACCATGATTTAAGCTTCTTCCTGAAAGAGAGGAGGGATGGAGCTGACCTAATCTTGCTGGGGAGGGTGTTCCAGAGGGGGCAGGGGGGACCACCAAGAAGGTCCTCTCTCTTGTCCCCACCAAACGTGTTTGTGAAGAAGGTGGGACTGAGAGCAGGGCCTCCCCAGACAATCTTAAAGTCTGAGGCAAAACGTAGAGGGATATATGTTCAGACAAGTAAGCTGGGCTGGAACTGTATAGGTACTTTTCTTTTCTTTTTTGTAAAAAAGGTATATTTAAAAATGTATTTTATTAATAATGTTTTAATTAATTTAATTTAATTTGAAAGTGGTTATAATCTCTATGTTTGTGTTAGTAGCTGCAGAATTTTTGTTTGGTTGGTAATTTTTCTGTATCAGTTTAAACCTTATGATGAGCTACTTTGAGTCCCAGTTGCATAAGAAAGGTAGAATATAAATCAAATATGTTAATCAATTCCCAAATTCCATCCCTGGCCCTTTAAGCTTTTTAAAAAGACAAAGGATAAGGTATCTTGAAGGGTCAGTTTTAGTGTACATGGATGATTGGATTAGGAATAAGCAGTTTCATTTTTCTCAGAGATCCATGATCTCATCCAATATGGGAAATATTCAGTATAGGTGCTAGATCCTGGCCTTAATTATAGTTAGGCTTCTAATGGATCCACTAGAGGAAAAGTTACTTTGTTAAGGCTACCAGAAACAAGAAAGTGTTGCGTTCTGCACTAAGATTATCACATGCAATTTTTGCACCGAAATTCCAAAGAACACAGTCTTAAAATATATGCATGTTTCTAAGTTTGTCTCAGCAAGAGGAGAATTGTTGAAAGTGTTCATTGCTGCTTCTCTTTTCCATAGTTTGCCAAAAACAGTGAACATATATTTCAAAAAGGTACACAGAAAAATGTGTAAAATTTTCAAGACACCGAATGTGCAAAAAGTTTTAGATTTGGGGGAAAGTTCCAATATTTTATTCCATGAGAAAAAAACAACTTACAAAAAGGGAACATTAGGAAAAGGGCATCAACATGTATGTTTCCAGTTTTTGAAATATAGTATAGTGTTTTTTTTGGGGGGGGGGAGATAGTATAAAATATGTACACGTTTTATGTGGATTAAAAAGAAAAGGTATTCAATGCAGAACTGAAAAAGAGTGAAGTGGGCAGTTGAAAAGAAAAATAACATAAGCAAAATTGGGTTTGATTACTTTTTAGATCATATTAACTTAATGTTCGTTAATGCAAAATGATGCTTTTTTAACTTTTTAAAACAATTTTCTCTGTTCTGTTCTGAACCACATACTAATTTCTACAAGTTGTGATTACTAACAGAGAGCAATCACCTCACAGCCTTGTACCGTAAAGAAGAGACCATCAGCGTCTGGGAACATGGCTCCATCCACAGTCCACGCTTCCCACAGAGTTACCCCAGAAATCTGCTGTTGACGTGGAAGCTGCTTTCACCAGAGAATGCAAGGATACAGCTGGTGTTTGACCCTCAGTTTGGACTGGAAGAGCCAGAGAATGATATCTGCAGGTGAGTTTGGAGAGGATAGATGTCTTCATAAAATATTAAGTATGTCTTTTACCAACCCCAAAAAGGTGGGGGGGGGGGGTTGAGAAAAATCAGAGTTAGACAAACCACATGCCTGACACAACAAAAACAGGCCAGCAGAATGTTGGATAAGCAAAAATGTTGGATAATAAGGAGGGATTAAGGAAAAGCCTATTAAATGTCAAATTACGTTATGATTTTACAAATTAAGCAGTTCAATACATGGTAACTTTATATAGTAATTAATGTATTTACAAATTTAGCACYAAAACATTGCAATGTATTGAAACAGCTGTGGATCCGGGTGGGAGGCAGACTGCGTTGGATAATACAGAACGTTGGGTGAGCGAAGGTTGGATAAGTGGAACTCTTCTGTAATTTGAAACCATTTGTTCGTGCCTTAGTCCCTGGAGCAACAGATATTTTATTTATCTCTTTTTGAAATTATTTTTATTAATATACACATTTTTCTTTCAWWAAAAAAATTAAGGTGTGTAGGAGAATAGCAATTTAACAAAAATCACGGTAGTATATACAACCACATAAAATATCATACGTGCATACCTTTCCTCCATTCTACATCTAAAACTAAACTAAACTAAACATAAAGAGGTTATATGTCACATCCAACTTTCCAGATCCTGATTATATATGATATAATGAATCTTTCTCCTCTACAACTATCAATTTTTAGAATTGAAAACATACTGGAATATATTTATTTATTTATGTACTACATTTATATACCGCTTTTTCCCCTAAGGAAATTCAAAACGGTTTTCAACATTATAAAGGCAAAATTCAATGTCATGCATACATGTGAAAACCAAAAGATAATAGCAAAAAGTAAACATGGATAATATAACATTTTTATTAAAACAGTTATGTATCTACTTTCATTCTAATATGCAAAAACTTTACTTATGCTCAGGTAGCTGTCTTGTCCGACACATAAAACACATGCTCTTGATTTAAGTGGATTTAAAAATAATACATTGCTTTGATTAGAAGAAATGGGGAAGAGGGTAAATGAGTAAGAATTCTGTTCCCTGAAGGATTTTTTTCAGTCTTTCAATCCCAAAAATTCTATTATTGCAGTAACTTAAACCACAATTGAGATTTGGATTCAGAAAAAATTCTGCCCCTCCACATGTTTTTTATTCTCAATCATCAAATTTCAAGCATTGCATTAACTTAAAACTTCAGTCATGCATGTAAAACTACAATTTAGGCATCCAAGGAAAAGTGGCAGGAAAGTTATGCATGCACCATTAAAATAAAAATTCTAGATATTAATTATTTTCCATCTCTCTCTCTTTCTCTGAAATTTGGGGACTAAAGGAAAGTTTCATGGGGAGTGAGAATTCTTGTTTTGATTAGTCAATTATTGTAGTACAGCCATAGGGCTGATGGATTAACTGATTATGTAGAGGAGATTGTGGGATTTCCTGTGAGATTTCCTGGAGCACAAAGTGATGAAGATTCAAGTCAAGGAAATGATGGTTCTCTCTGGAGTAACCTGACTCAGAAAGTGCAGAGCTTCAAGGTCAGTCAGAGGAGCCAGAAACTGCAACATTAGATAAGGAGTCAGAAGACTCCCAGGGGAAAGCACCTGGAGCTACATAGATCAACAAATGTCTTTGTTTACAGAAAATAGGCAGTGCCAGTCAGAGCAATTATGTGGGAAAGTTGGGGAGAAAATTCATGGGAAATGGGATTACTTCATGAGTGCCTATTAACTAGCAAGTTGTCTACCTAAGGGTTAGTTCAGGCAACGTAGCGTTTGAGTGAGAAGCTAGGCCTGAGTTCTCTGGTTCTTGTTTCAAGTCAAGCCTTGGTTTTGGATTTAAGTATCCTGGAAATTTTCTATGTTTTTGCTTTTGTATTCCTGCTCAATTTTACTAAGTATGTCTTTTGCTTGTGGATTTATGCTGTACTTGTGATTTTTTGGCTATTCCTGGATTTGGGATCTTCATGAGACATTTGGATTACTGTTTGGTTATCACCTATTGCTAACCCTTTTTTGGATTATACATCTTCTTTCCGTATTCCTGATTTTTCATATATTTTATGTGTTTTTACTGTTTGTTTATACTCTGGACTTTTGTATGGTGCTGTGGTCATAATGTTTCCAGGCTTGGGGTGCACCATCAATAGCAATGATTCCCCCACCTTCAATAGCTACCCATAAGGCAGAATGAAGCCATTGCTTCAGAAATAGATGATGAGAGTAGATAGCAAGGCATTGGTCCTAGTAGTATAAGGATCAAGCATGATCCACCCTGCACATGTTTTAGTTTTATGCGTAATAAACCAATGCTGGCATAAATCTCACCCAGAAAACTGGTTCTTAAAGTTCAAGAGAAATATTCTGGCCAACATTGTGATAGATGATGAGATACCCAGACATTGATTTCGTTTGTACACCATCGAATCTGCATTCTAGTTTGTAGACTTATCAAGAACAGAACAAAAAGGACCAAGTGAGGAACAATCTGATGTGTTCCTAGAATAATTACACAGTTTGTTCTTTTCAATGTTTATTTTGCATAAAATATGATTTTTTTTATTCATTTGGGCACACAGAGGAGCTATATTCCTAGCAGCATTGGCTGCAAAACAGTTCTTGTGCTATCACAGAGCATGTAAGGCATATGGAGAAATGTTAGTCCCTATTAAATAAAGAATAAATCCCTTTGGGGTCTTGGGAAAACCTGTTGCCAAGAAGAAATCCAAGCATGCCTGAACTTCATATGACATATTTTAAAATGTTCCTGTGTTATTGTAATAGCATTTTCAAAGGGAAAAAGCCAACCAAATATTTAAGTATCAAATTATGCAAGCCTCCATGTCATATTACTTCTAAGAGTGGGCAAAGTCTGGTAGCTGGTAACACAGAAACAACCCCCTACAGCAATATTCTAAAACCTTATTGGCCTGTCATTTTTTTTAAAAAGCATAAGGTTTCCTGCTGCTTGAGGCAGGAAAAGAAAAAAAAAATCAGGACTCCCCTTCTTCGTTGCTTTTTCCCAAGAATGTACATCTCTGTTTATTCTGTTTTCACATGCATAAGAGATTACTTTTCAAAATTATCTCCCATCTAGGTGAGATAGTAAGACTTCTTGTGCAATTTTTTCATAACTCATATCTTTTTTCATGCAAAAGAAATCATTTACATACATACATACAGAATGAGAGAGAGAGAGAGAGAGAATTGTGCCAAAATGCTTTTGTGCAGAATAACATTTTACATAGAAAACTGTATCTTGCTGGAAATATCCTTTTTATTAAAAATGCACTTTTTATTTATTATGCTATGCTGCCCTTACCAATAGAGTTTATATCCAGTGTTATATGTGCTCCAAAAAAAAAAAATCCTCCTGGATGTGTTTGTGGGTCTTTCTATATCCTCCACTTGGAATAATAATAATAATAATAATAATAATAATAATAATTATTATTATTATTATTATTATTATTATCTTTATTTATATCCTGCCTTTCTCCCCATGGGGACTCAAGGTGGTTAGCAATCTCAAACTACCTCTGAGGATGCTTGCCATAGATGCGGGTGAAACGTCAGGAGAGAATGCCTCTAGACCATGACCATATAGCCTGAAAAAACCTACAACAACCCAGTGATTCCAGCCATGAAAGCCTTCGACAATACAATCTCAAACTTTGATCATAGTTTTAAAAGTGCAAAACAAGAGTTTAAAATGATTGAATAATACAGAGTGGATTATGGTTAAAAACAAAATACAATAAATATACTCAAAATAGCCTTTAAAATTCACCACCCCCCTCAAGAATCCCACCCACACTTTCCCAGCAGCATGCCCCTTATGTTTCTCCAAATGCCTGCTGGCAGAAGGAGGTCTTGAAATGCATGCAGAAGGCCAGAAGGGATGGGGCCATCCTGGTCTCTCTTGGGAGGGAGTTCCACAGTCTGGGAGCACCCACCAAAAAGGTAATCTCTCTTATTCCCAGCAAACATGCTTGAGCAGATGGTGGCATAATAAAAAATTCAATGTGCAGATTTGTTATGATGTGTGGGAATGAATGGAAGAATGTGTGGTTGGAGTTAATAATTTTGGAAACACCAGTATAATATTAAGGCCAGCAATGACTAACTACCTGCTTGCTGGAACTGTGATCGGGACCTGCTAATGAGAATTGATAAGAACTGTGAGAATGGTTCTTTCAAGTTAAAGAAATGTTTGCAACATTCCTTATGTTAAGAAGAAAGTCAACACCAATCAAGAAGATCAACATTTGGCCAGGAAACTGAGGTGGAGCCAGGATGGAAGACATCTATCATTAATTTACAACTTTGGGACTACATCAACAGAATATTCCTATAAAAGACTCAGTCTAATAATGCTCAAATTGTGACCAACATGAGGAGTCTGGTTCACCCGCTATGCTCTGCTCCATGGGAAGGAGAGAGACAGTGTACTATGGAGTAGCAGATCTGCACGGGAGCATTTTGGACACTTTGGGGCTTCTTTCTCAAGGGAAGAGGAAGAAGTGCACTTTTGGAGTCTTGGATTTTGTGCAGGGAGTCAGGTTCTGCTGTATGGAAAACAGAGATCTGGTCCTTGGCATTGTGCTTAGGGAAAGGATGCATTTTGGCATTTTGAAGTTATGGTGTTATGGAAGTTTTGTGACTATGCGTTTGGCAGGCTTCAGGAAATCAGGGTCTGGCCTAACAGGTGCTTCTCCAAGGAGGGAGAAAATGATATGGTAATACTTGAATGCCTGAGGATGAATGTGTGTACATGTGTGTGAATGTTGAGTGAAAATGTAATTCCCCTTTGTTTGTTTGTTTGTTTGTTAACCAATGTAATTGTAAATCCAATGTAGTTGCATAGAATCTGTATGTCTGTATGTCCAATGTCATTCTTTGTCTAAATGTTTTCTGTAATCTGATATTCCCTCTCACACTGGAAATTGCAATAAAAAGAACCTATGATTTAAAGTCATTGAAAAGTCATTCATGGCAGTGGGGACAGAGAAAAGTTGATTGTAGATGTCTACGAGGTTCATAGAAAGAGATGCAATCCTTCGGATGATCTGGACTGGAGTTGTTTAGGACTTTGTCGGTCAAAACCAGCACTTTGAATTGTGCCTGGAAGCATACTGGCAGCCAGTGGAGCAGTCACAACAGAGGAGTTGTTTGTTCCCTGTAGCCAGTCCCAGTTGGCAATCTGGCTACTGCTCTTTGGACCAAGTGAAGTTTCTAAGCACTTTTCAAAGGCAGCCCCACGTACAGCACATTACAGTAGTATAACCAGGATGCAAGCAAGGTGTATAGCACTGTGTCCAGATCTGACTTCTACAGGAATGAGCACAGTTGGCACACTAACTTTAATTGTGCAAAAGCACTTCTGGTCTTGCTGATACCTGGGCCTCCAGGACTTGGAGCATATCCCTCATGGATAGATACTGTACACCACATAAAAACTAAGGGCCAGATTTCTATTGACATCCTATCTGCCTGAGAACTCTCCTACATTTTTGTCCATTGTGAAATATTCACATTCAAGGTTGCATCTTTGGTGCCATTGTTCATCCAGATGCATGGGTCTATACATGTGCTTACAATGTGTATGTGCATTTGCAAGTATGTTTGCGTGTGCATCCACTTGCTCAGTGTTGCTAATCTATTTATTTATTTATTTATTTACTACGCTTATATACCGCAATTCTCAGCCTACTGGCGACTCATTGCGGTGT